GCAAGACTTTCCCTGTTGCAAGGTAACTGTGACTGCCTCTCAAGTCCCTGAACCAAGTGAAGCAGTAGGAATGCCTGGGTTCCAGTACCTCTGCAGTTTGGAATGGCTTCCCCATCTCCGTCTGTTCTCTCAGGCTGCAGAACAGAGCCCAAGGATGTGTTTGTGTCCCAGGCCTGAGGGGCGGGCATGATGGCCATGGCCTCAGGGACCTCCCCCGCTTCTTGGAAACTTGATTTTGACTGGAGATATGGGAGGCGAGCGTCTCTGCAGCCTGGCTGTCTGTATGGAAAGCAGAAGTTCCTCGGGGACACGGTGAAGGGGTGACCTGGGCTCCCGGGGTAGTTGTGCTCACAGTTCCTTCCCTTCTTAGGACAGGATGGGGCGAGAGTGATTGGCCCTGTGAGAGTGACTGCGGACCCCACCGCCCTCACGCCAGGATTAGTGCGTCTGGCACCATGGAGGCGCTGTGAGGGCTGGTCCCTGCTTCGTCCTTCCTGTGGTCTGTTGTCCCTGTACTTGGTTCCCAGGTGCCCTCTGGATTCAGGACAGGTGTGACCTGTCTGTATGCTTCCTTTACCGCCCAGGGCGGCCACATCCCCATCCCCACCCTCCCACACGCAGTGCTCTTGGTTATTCCCGTAACCTCTGACCTGGGCTAGAGGCTTGCGGTGGAATCCTGGGACCAGGGCCTAAGCCTTTCCTGGGAAAATTCCTGGGATTCCTTTTGGGCTCAAGGACAGTTGTACTTATGACCACGGGTTCTGGCTGGAGGCCTCTGCTCTGGCTATTTAAGGCCCAGACAGCTGGAGCTTGGGTAGGATGGTTTATGCCTGGAATATGGGTGGAGAAGTATCCCAGTGGTGCAATGACTTCTGACTTCACAGGACCTCCTCCTGCAGGCGCTCGTGGGGAGTGGGCTTCCCCTTCTTCCTGGCAGGATGCTTTGGCCAGTAGATGCTGGGATTGGAGTCTGGGGAGAAGAGTCCCAATAGCCCAGTGTGGTGGTACACACCTAGAATCCCAGTACTCAGAAGGCTGAGGCAGAAGGATCGCTGTGAGTTTGAGGACAGCCTAGGCTATATAATGAGTTCAAGGCCAGCCTGAACCACGTAACAAGACCCTGTCTCAAAAATAAATAAATAAAAGAATTCCAAGCCCAGAGGCCGGGAAACTCTGTGGCAGGCCTGGGGTTGGGTGGGCCCTCTTTGCCCAGAACTCGGGAACCCCATACACTGAGGTGGGGTATCCTCTCTGCTCCCACTCCAGCAGCCTGTCTAGATTGGGTGATCTTTGTTCATCCTCACTTTCTCTGGCTCTCTTGGTTTGGACGTCCAGCAGATTTCCCCGTTCCTTCTGAGTAACAGTCTGTTTTGTGTGTGGACAAGCCCCAGGACATGATTTCCTAGGCCAAATCCCACCTCGTCCCTGGGTGAAATGGGCAGTTCCTCTTGGCTGACAATTTGGGCTGATCCAGAAGGCTCAGCTCAAGCATTTCCTGATCAGGAAAAGGATGCCCTAGTTATCCCCTGGGCTTTATAACCAGGTGCTGTCCTCCGCTGCATTCTGGATGGCCAACCAGCCAAGCAGTTATTATTTTGGTTATTGTCTTTGATGTGCCAAAGAAGTGATGACACAGAAGCCTGGGGCTTGGCTCAGGAGCCAAAAGCTTGTTAGTGATTAGAGAGGGGATAATGGCCCCCATGGAGCCTCTCATTGTGCGTGGAGAGCTCAGAGCTGCCAACTCTCTCCACCGTGGGAGTTTGGAGACGTTGGGAGGCCCCTGAGTGAGGACCCAGGGTCTGCTTCTGTCAGGGCTCCTTCGCATTCCCGGAGAGTGGTGGCAGAGGTGTTTCGGCCCAGCTCAGCCTCCTGCAGCCTGCCGGGCCTCTGTTCTAGACCAGCCCCGGCAGCTTATGTTGGGCCTTCCCCACCTGCTCAGTCTGTCAGAGGATTTCACTAAAGAACTAGATTTGGAGATTCTCTTGAAAATAGGATGATGTAGCAGCTCCAGACCTGCATTCCAGAGTTGGCTGGAGCTGTGTGGCTGTGGCTGCCATGGGACATCCACTGGCATGAGCTCCAGTCCCCGCACGTTCACTCCCACCTCCTCCGGGGGGACCCCACTCTCGGCCACATCAGCAGCTGTCTCATCTGGCAGGCGGCAAGAAGAGTGAGCGTCCCCGTCACACTGTGGCCGGTCAGATCCTGGCTTCTCCTGAGCCCTGGTCCTGTGCACGCCCCTGAGCCTCCTGGTGCCTCGGTGCTCTTACTGTATGATGGGCCCAGCGAGACTAAACTTGAGTTGTACACAGCAAGAGCTCAGGTGAATGTTAGCTGTTCCTGTTGTGGCCATTGTCATCATTACTGTCCTGTCCTCTGTTTGCCTTACTTGCCTGGTGCCCGTGGGCATTTGAGAATCAGCCCCCCGAAGTCCGGGGTCTGGTGCCCCTCTTTTCATCGCCAACTGTCTCAGTGTCTGGAATGTGGCAGATGTGTCCCATGAGTGTGTACAGTGACAGTGATGATCTGGGAGCCCGCTCAGGGCAGGGGAGCAGGGTGGTTTGGGGCAAAGGTTTGGCCCATGCTCAAATCCCTGTCCTGCCCTGGTTTGATCCCTCACTGTTTCTAGTTTCCTCACCTGTCAGGTGGGGGCTGTGCCCAGAGCGGGGAGGACCGAGTGAGGGCCTGTGTACTCCTGGGCTTGGGCCCTGGGCCTTGGCACCACTCCTCCCTGGAGCCTCCTTGTTTGCCCACCTCCCTCCCTGTCACCGTGCATCCCGAGTTGCACTGTGAAGGCTCCAGGCGCTTTCAGTTGCAAGTGCCGGAGAACTCGCTAAGCACTTAGGGGCTGTTTGGCCAGGGGTAGAGGGAAGAGCCCAGAGGTAGGACAGGCATCAGGTCTCTCCTCAGACTTTTTTTGGCTCTCCCATCTGCTGTGAGAAGACTTATGCCTTAGGCCAGCCTCCCAGTGGTCACAGGACCGTGGTAAAGATTCTGCCTGGGTCCCCTGGGTCCCTTGCTTCTACCTGAACCCACCATGACTCAGGCTGATTGCTTCCCACCAACACAGTGCTGGCAGCAGGGAGGCCTGGCTTTATTCCTGAGTTGTACCTGGCATGTGTAGGAGATGCTTTGGGGGCTGCTGGCTTCCCCGAGGTGCGGCCCCACTCAGGTCAGCAGACACTCACAGGATGGCACTTAGGAGTGGGTGGCACACCTTGGATCACGTGTCATTGCTGCCAGGTATGTGAGCATGGAGGCTGGCATGAATGAGTCACATCCTAGTAGAGCCGGGAGGTCCCTTCAGTCCACGAGAGCATGGAACAGCACTGTCCCCACCAGGCCCAGTGGCTGAATGTTCCTTGGTGTGTGTGTGCGCACACGTGTGTTCCACAGAGTGATGCCCGCACTGGTCCTTCAGGCTCTGGGCAGACACAATCCCAGGTTGGGGCCGCTGGAGACAGTGCAGCTTGGACGACAATGTGGGAATGACCACCTGCCTATTTCCCACGCCCAGAGCCACGCGGCCAGGGATGCTTGGTGAGCCCCAGGGCTCCTCGGAGCCCCTGAAGCCCGTGACTCTCCGAAGGGTGGAGCGGTGGGGGTAGGGTGGAGCCTGAGGCATAGATAGCCTCTGTTTCTCTGCAAGCACTCTGTGGTGGGCGGGCAGCTGTGTGAGTGTGCGCGAGGTGTGGTTTCAGACACAGCTGACTCGGTGGGTTTTGGCGGCAGACTACAGGATGTTGGATTGCATCCTGATTTTGTCACCCTTGGAAGAAGAGGATGAATAAACATACAGCCTTCTCTGCAAGCACAGCACGCCTTAAATTTTGGAGATTTTTAGTCTCGCCTGAAAAGGAAAAAGCTCTAGGCTGACTGTTCTGTCCTCCATTTGATCCTCAAGCTGCCATGAGCAGGTGGAACAGAAGCTAAATAATCAAGCCCTGAGTAGTGAAGGCAGGGAAGGGCAGAGCTGGAAAGGCGGATTCTGAGGCAACCTGCTGGCCGGAACTGAGCCTGTGAGGAAACTCTGGAACGCCATGTTGGGGCTAGGCACATCTTGGGCTCCATGTGTAGTCTTTGACGAGAGAGCTACTTGGGGACACCTTTGCTGGGTTGTCTGCAGCCCTCAGGGACCTGGGCTTGAGTGGGGAGAGTTGGACTTGCCTGGGAAGAGGTGGTAGTTGAGGAGGGCGTGTCAGCTGTTCAGGGTCCTTTGAGAGGAAGTTTTTGGAGAGCACAGGTTCAGGGGTGGCCCGGACTTGTGTCCCATGGGCACTAGGCTGTAAGAGACACGTTCAGGCATCATTGGTGCTGTACCAGGCAGGACAGGGCCCTCCTGTGTGTCCCTCAGCCCCTCAGTACACCATGTCTGTCTGCATTTGCGTGAGGGCTGTGATGGACCCGCCAGTAGCTCCCGTGCCAACCCTGCAGGACCTGTCTCCTCCGAGAGCAGGTGGGGCCTCGAGCCCATGCCCTTTCCCATCCTTGTCTTTTTAAGCTGAGAAGCAGGAAGAGGGCTCCCGAAGGAGGAGGATCGTTTCTGCCTTGGTGGAGCTGTGAGGCCTGCCCTGGAGTGGGCCCTTATCCTGGAGGGCAGCACTTGCCGCTGGCCCAGGGGAACCAGAGAAAGTGTGCACACACCTGGGCGTCCGCCCCTGATCTCTGCCCCAGGTCTTTGCGGTTTCTCTTCATGGTGCCGTGGCCTCATTCCGGGCTGGCTGCCCACCTCTGTGGAGGCCGAGTCCGCACAGCCTCCCCCAGACCCCCTAAGCCATGGCTGGATCGGGCTGGAGGGAGGCAGCAGTGGAGAGGACTCCCGCCGGGGCTTCTGCTGGAGCATGGGCCATCGAGGAGTTGGGAAAAGGGGGCCTACAGGGCCCTCCGAGCTGGTCAGAGGAACGCGAGCTCCATCTGCGTCTCTCTTCCGCTCAGCGCAGTCTCCCCCACCTGGCCCCGCTCCCCAGTGGGCTCACTGCCTTGCTCTGCTTCTCTTGTAGAGAGTGGAGCCGGAGTCTCGGAGCCTCTCCCTGGGTGGCCATGTGGGCTTCGACAGCCTCCCTGACCAGCTGGTCAGCAAGTCCATCACCCAGGGCTTCAGCTTCAACATCCTCTGTGTGGGTGAGTGTCGTGGCCCGGCTGGGGATGCCCTCAAACAGAGTGGGGGTGAGGACCTTCAGGTGCCCCGGGTCCCTGTCAAGTTGTGTGGGGCTTACGGGGCAGGGGCAGGCAGAAGGAGGGTGCATTCGGTTCTCTGCCAGGGTCCAGGACAGGATTGGGGCCAGGGCCGGAATCGAGGCCAGTGCTGTCATGATGAGTACACAGGATTTGGCACATGAAATGCTTTGCAGACTGTGGGTGTTCATCACGTGATTTAGACTTGTTTATTTACTCCTTCCTACCGTGTGTTGAGGATACTGTGATAAACCAGTCTCTGCCCTTCCTCATAGCAGCACGTGAGAAGATGTGGCTGTCCCTGGAGTGCTCAACCAGACCCCCTGCAGCTGCCTGTCCCTCCCCACAGTCCAAACCTGGCAGAGCTGCGGCAGCTCAGGGCATATGGACTAAGCCAGTGGTGGCTCTAACCCTGGTCCTGCTCCTCTCCTTGCCTCTCCTGGGCTTTGTGGGGATGGGCCCAGGGCAGGCGTGTGGTAGATGACCAGGCTGCCTACCTCCTTCCTTCCTTTCTGTTCTTCCTCTTCTCTCCTCTCTCTCTCTTCCTCCCTCTCCCCCATTCCTTTTGCTGGAGATCAAACCCAGGTGTCCTGCATGCAGGCACTGCACTGCCGAGTCGCCCTCCACACACACATTACTTCTGAGGGCCCTGAGACAAGGGGTGAGGACCTGGATAGACTGGGAAGCCTGCCTGCCCCTTCTCTTGTATCAGGGCTGAGAATGCCTGCGCCCCGACCTGGCCTCACCCCCAGCTAAGGACAGCCCGCGTTCCAGCCTTCTCCCTCCTGTCCCGCTCTCCAGGGGAGACTGGCATCGGCAAGTCCACCCTGATGAACACGCTCTTCAACACTACCTTCGAGACCGAGGAAGCCAGCCACCACGCAGGGAGCGTGCACCTGCGGCCTCAGACCTATGACCTCCAGGAGAGCAACGTGCACCTCAGGCTGACCATCGTGGACGCCGTGGGCTTTGGGGACCAGATCAATAAGGACGACAGGCAAGAGGCGGGAAGGGCGGCCCGTCCAGCTCTCCCCCACAGTAACCCCACTTCTCCACTGCTTCACTGTCCCCGTCCAATTGCCAAACCCCCACATTCCACAGGGGCCGGGGGAGGCGTCAGGGGACGTGTGGGGCTCTGTGGTCATGAGCTGACCAGTTACTGCTTGGGGTGGGTCAGAAGGGGTCAGCGGCCTCACCAGAAGGAGCACAGCTGTTTATTCCCTGGCAGGAATGCGGGCAGCCTGCTTGGCCCTGGGGTCCTCAGGCTGTGGCTCAGCTCTTGCCTCCCAGTGACGAAGCTGTCTGTAGTTACAGGCCCATAGTCGACTACATCGATGCACAGTTTGAAAACTATCTGCAGGAGGAGCTGAAGATCCGCCGCTCTCTCTTCGACTACCACGACACGAGGATCCACGTGTGCCTGTACTTCATCACACCTACCGGGCACTCCCTGAAGTCCTTGGACCTGGTGACCATGAAGAAGCTGGACAGCAAGGTATGCGCTCCCACCCCGTCCCGTGGGCTCTGCTGCCTTCCTTCCCCTGGAACGGCACAGGGTGGCTGCAGCTTGGCTGTCCCCCAGGGCTCAGGGATGTGGGCAGGGCTGGTGCACAGCTCCTTGGCTTGCTTCGCTCTGTCACACTTGCAGTGGCCCTGCTAGTGCCACCTGTCTCTACTGCGCACTCCTGTCCCTGGGTCTGGCCCTGCACCCCTTCCTTCTTGTCCTCAGCTCTGTTGGCTTGTTTCCCTCTGCTGGAATGGTGTCCCTCTACTTCCCAGCTCAGCCTCCTCCCTTCCCCTGTTCTTTCGTCTCCGGATTCCTAGCCCTTCCCTTCTTTGCCTTTTCTTTCTGATGTGGACCTGTGGGGTTCTTTCTGAGAACTAGGGGAGGAGAGCACAGCCCCAGTGGCCTTGTGGAGAGGTCAGGATAGTTGGGGTCCCAGAGGGCCTCGCATCTCTGCCTTCCCCACCTTGAGTTAATTTCCACCGTAAAAATGAGACTGCCCTGGCCTGGGAGATTTTGAAATCTTTCCATGACTACTCCTGATGGATTATTTTATCTGCTTGGTGGGGAGTTTAGTCCTCAGTTCCTGCCTCTGTCAGACCTCGGGCCAGTTAAGAAGCTGGACCATTCTGGGTCAAAGCTGGGTGTACCCAGGGAACTGCTTCCAGGGCTAGATGGGGGTGCAGGGGATCCAGAGATAGAAGAAGTATGGCAGCTGGTTGTCATGGTGACCACAGATGGCTAGGTTGGGCTGGGTGCGCCCCTGAGTGCAGCTCGGTCCTCTGTTCCTCTGTACCGATGTGGCTGGGCAGAGCCATACCCACTGTCCCTCCTCCCACCTGGCAGGTGAACATAATTCCCATCATTGCCAAGGCTGACACCATCTCCAAGAGTGAGCTCCACAAGTTCAAAATCAAGATCATGGGCGAGTTGGTCAGCAATGGGGTCCAGATCTACCAGTTTCCCACTGATGACGAGGCAGTCGCGGAGATTAATGCAGTCATGAACGTAAGTGTTGAGCAAGGGCCTCGGCTCCAGGGCCAGGGGTTCAGAGCAGCCAGATTGCAGGCGCAGCGTGGGAACCTGTGTTCCCAGGAGTCCAGCCTGGCCTCTCCCGCCAGCCCGACCTGTCTCCTATGGGCATGGAGGAATGGACTTGGGGTTACCAGTCTGTGTGAAACAAGGGCTGGCCTCATGCCTAAAGCCTACAGCCGTGAGCAGACCTGAGGCCAGGGTTTGGGAACCTGAAGGGAACCAGGCCCACAGGTCCTTACAGGGAGCTGTACTGGCCCTAAGAAGAACACCCCATAGAGTTGGGAATGTCACGGGGAGGTTTTCAAGTTCAGCTCAGCAACCCACTGCAAGGTCTGGAACGTTTCTCCACGAGAGCCAAAAGAAACCAGGCATGATGGCACATGCCTGTAATCCCAGCACCCAGGGAGTGAGGCAGGCGGGTTGTCAAGAGTCCGGGGCCAGCCAGGGCTACATAGTTCAAGGCCAGCCTGAACTACAAAGTGAGACCCTGTCTCAAAAAACCAAAAACAGCAAAGAAACACAAAAGAACTACAAGTAAGGGTCTTGCCACAGGGCCTGTGGGACAATGTGCTCACCTGTGTCTGCCTAGTGCTCATGCGTACCCGGGCCCCTTTCCAGGCACACCTGCCATTCGCCGTGGTGGGCAGCACTGAGGAGGTGAAGGTGGGAAACAAGCTGGTCCGAGCGCGGCAGTACCCTTGGGGAGTGGTGCAGGGTGAGTGCGGGGGGGCCCCGAGTGAGTCCCCTGCGGGCCTGCTGCTGTGGCACCCTGCCCCGCCCTGCGCTGCCCTCCTGCTCACCCACCTGTGTGCCTGCATTGCGCTGGCCGCTGTCCCGCACAGTGTCGGCCCTGCCCACCCGCGTGCCTGCCTCATGCCCCACGTGCCCCCGTTTTCAGTGGAGAACGAGAACCACTGTGACTTCGTGAAGCTCCGTGAGATGCTGATCCGGGTGAACATGGAGGACCTCCGAGAGCAGACCCACAGCCGGCACTACGAGCTCTACCGGCGCTGCAAGCTGGAGGAGATGGGCTTCCAGGACAGTGACGCTGACAGCCAGCCCTTCAGGTGACAGCCCACTCTTCGCAGCCACAGCTGCTCTCGCCACCCGGGCCTTGTGGGCCCGCGAGGAGGCCCGGCCTCCCCTCACCCTCTGGGCTCTCTGCTCTCGGTCTCCACAGCCTGCAAGAGACGTACGAGGCCAAGAGGAAGGAGTTCCTGAGTGAGCTGCAGAGGAAGGAGGAGGAGATGAGGCAGATGTTTGTCAACAAGGTGAAGGAGACCGAGCTGGAGCTGAAGGAGAAGGAGAGGGAGGTGTGTGCCTGGCTAGGCTGCGGCGGGAACCGGTGTGCCGTGGGAGGCTGGCCGAAGTTGGGGCCGCAGCTCCCTGCACGTGTGCCAGGCGCCCTTCTCTCACCCAGCTGCACGAGAAGTTTGAACACCTGAAGAGGATCCACCAGGAGGAGAAGCGCAAGGTGGAGGAGAAGCGCCGGGAGCTAGAGGAGGAGACCAACGCCTTCAACTGCAGGAAGGCGGCTGTGGAGGCCCTGCAGTCTCAGGCCTTGCACGCCACCTCACAGCAGCCCCTGAGGAAGGACAAGGACAAGAAGAAGTAGGTGTGGGCTCCCCGTGCTGCTGTCCTGTGCACGCAGTGTCCTGCTCTCTGAGCTCTGCTTCTGCTTTGGTCATCGAGTGCTCTCTTGACTCTCGGCTTTGCTTGCTGTCCTGACCCCTTCTTGCTCTTCACTCTTGTCCTCTTACACTGCTGCTCTTGGTGTCTCATCATCCAGTGTCTGTCTCTTTGTCTCTCTGTTTCTCTTTCTGTGTGACCATGTGCTCGCCCTCCCCTCTCTCCTGCCCTCCTCTTCCCTCTCTTGCTCACCTATTTGTTCTTCTGCAACGCTCACACCTGGCCCTCTATGCTGCAGCGCGCAGAAGGCCGGGCCACACAGACAGGGCACAGCCTGAGAGGCGGAGCTGTAGGGTCTTGGGGAAGTCACTCGGGCCTGGGACTGTCCTGCGGGGCCGGCCAAGGTGCCTTCCTCCTGGGTCTCGTGGTGTGGGTGGTGACCGAGGTCCGTAGGGACTCCGTGGACACTGTGGTCTCTGCCGAGCTCTTCTGAGGGACATCAGCTCCTGGGTGGGAGCAGAACTGACCCTCCAGGAGAAGCTGGAGTTGTTCCTATAGAGGAGACAAAGATAGGCATGGCACAGCCTCCAAGGTGCTGTCCACTTGGTGGCCAGATGGGGCGACTCTGAGGCACTTCTGCTTGTGTGTGTGGTGGTGGGACTGCAACTCAAGCCTCACACGAGCAAGACAAGTGTACGACCACTGAGCTGCAGCCCCTGCCCTCTGGTACTTCCCATAGCCTGTTCCTGCACCCTGAGCTGGAGCCCATGTGCCCCGGCTGCCAGGCTGTCCCACCCTGGCCACCTCGCACAGTGGCCATCTCCGGCCTCTCTCTCCCTGCCCTTTGCCTGCCACTGGTGCTGTCCTTTTCATGTCAACCCAGGAAGTAAGCAGGCATGCCTGCATTGGCCTCCACCCTGGGCTCCTTCCACTGGGAAGAAAGACCCTTTCCTCCCTGATGGCAGTGGAAGCTGGTAGGTGTGGCTGTGGGATGTCGCTTCTGGCACAAACACTCCCTGTGCCCACGCCCTCGTTGTGCTCCTGTGTGCACACAACGCTGTCTCCCTCCTGTCTTGTCACACAGGCAGGCACAGAGCACACATCTCCCAACACAGTGCACAGAGGTGCAGGGGAACTCAGGCCAGAACCAGGCACTCGGGAGTTGGGTTCTAGTTGTCATTTTTTTTTCCTTAACTGTAACTAGTGATTTTTTTTGTGTGTGTTTTTAATAATTTGAATTGGTAAGGTGCATAACACATTTTTTTTTAACTTCCCCTTCCTCTCCCTTCCACTTTCCTTCATCTTTTGGTCCCCACCCCATTTTAGTTGTCATTTTTAAGGCTTCTTTTTGTAATCTGTATCCCCATACCCGGTGACCACACCCCAGCTATGGGCACTGCTGGGAAGAATTAAGTCCCTTCCTGTCCCCAGGGAAGACCCAGCCTATGCTCCCCTCAACCTTGAGAATTTCCTCTCTCCTCTACGGTGGCTGCTCCTCCTTACCCAGCCCTGGCTTGGTGAGCTTGAGGGCTGGGGCAGCAGCTCAGAAATCTGGATTCTCCTTGGGGGTCCAGGGGGCAGAGGTCCATTATTGATTGCAGTGACTTTGCCTGCCTAGTGCAGTCCCACTTATTAAAGAAAGGCTAGGCAGAGTCTGTAGGATAGATGCTGTGGAGAAACCTCTCGGAAGTTGAATGGAAGACCTGTAGCCAGGCTGGGCCTGAGGCCTGCGGGGAGGAGGGGTGGGGTGTTGGGCGTGCAGGCTGTCCGCACGGTTCCAGCGCAGCTCTCCGTCTGGTACCTTGGCCCCCAGGCCTGGGCTGGAAGGATGGGCCCCTTCTTTGTGCTGGGTATGCCAGAAAGCCTCAGTTTGGCCTCTGCCCTGGTTGGCTGGAGGCAGAGGTGGGTGGGTTGGGGGTACCCCCAGCAGTCTTACTCCCACCCTGGCTGATGGAGAGGGGTGGGCTGGGCACGCACTTTGGAGATGGCTATTTCTCAACCATTTAATTGAATGCCTTTGATTGGTTGCCTTTGTTCTTTAAATTTTAATCCATTTCTGCAAAATTACTTCCCAATCAGATCTTGACCCTCAGCCTGGGACGTCACAAACTGAAGCCAGTTCTCTGCTTCGCCCGTCACAAATGCCAAACTGACTGCCCTTCCCCAGTGTCCATCTTGCTGTCTTTTGCTTCCGTATGATTTGGTCTGCGTATCTTTTAATGTGTCTGTTTTTGTTCTGTTTGTTTTATTTTTATTTTTCAGTTAACGCACGCACAGACTTACATGTCAAGAGTGGACTTTAGCCTTTCATGTGTTAAGTTGCTTGAGTTACACCCTGTGACCCTTCTCCCATAACGAGGTGTGAGGACGGACTGGGAGCCGGTACAGCCTCCAGGGTTTACGGCCTGGCCCTCGCCCCACCCACCCGGCCCTGCCGCCCTCGGTCTGGCGGCCACACCCTCTATGCAAGCGCAAAAGCAGTGAATGCTGGAATCCAAAACTGACGAGGTTTATTTTTTTCAGAGCCAGTGGCTGGTCTTCCATTTACAGTGTCACTATTCCTTGACGGAGCAGTTATAAGCCACTCTAGTGAAGGCCCCAGCCGGCGGTGCTAGGCCTAATTGTTCAGCGTCAAGATGGCGACTCACGCGGTGCCCTAGGTGCGGGCTGCGGTTTGGTATTCGTGCTGCAAAATGTGCCCAGTCCCCTTTGTTTTAATTTTTTTCTAACCTAGAGTTTAATTTCAATAATAACTTTGAGACTCATAAATTTTTATTTTGGCACCAGCGTAAAGACAAATAATATCCTCTCCCATTATTTTCATAAGTAACACAGACTCCCTGGTTTTTAGAAACTAAAAAAAAAAATCTCTAAGCTTTTTTTATGTATAGAGCGCTCCTATAATATATAGGGAGAGGTGGGTAATAAACTTCCTGCAACGACAGTGTTTGAAATTTCTTTACCAATGAAATGGATCATGAGCAAGACCACGTCCAGCGTTTTTACTGTGGATGTAAATGGAACAGCAGCCCAAAGCCATTGTCTCTGGCCAAGGTGCTACCTGTGAAGAGGGACCAAACCTTGTCTATGTGTTAAGTGTTTAATTCCAAATAAGCCTCCCAGCCAAGCCTGGCTTTCCGATTCAAAGAGGGCTCTGGGAAAAGACTGTTGGTGCCTTGAGGTCATTGTTTCTTCTTTCCAGGCAAAGAGAAGGAGCTATCTGATAAGTTTAGGATAATTTGAGAAAAAAATTAGTAGCCTGGGGAGCTCTTCCCCATTGGCTGCACTGTACAGAAGAACATTTAAGAAAGTACTAGCAGCAGGGCTGGGGATTTAGCTCAGTGGCACTGCGCCTGCCTGGCAAGCACAAGGTCCTGAGTTCTATCCCTAGTACCAAAAAAAAAGTAAAGTACTAGCAGCATTAATTCTTCTTTGCTCTTCGTGGTCTACAAACCTCTGGTAGAATCAGGGTGGGACGTTAATGTGGGAGATAAAAGTGAAATCCTTTCGTGCTGGACGCTGCAAGAGCTCACAGCCTGGCACACTCCTTGTAGGGGAGTCCTACAAGGCTGTGCTCAGGATTGCTGGGTCGGTAGTTTTCCATGCCCCCTGTACTTCCTCCTGTCACCATCCCTCCCATTTTGCCTGGCCTGCCAAGTTTGGGCTTCCTCCTGCTCCTCTGAGATGATATTGCACTGAGAGTTAGATGGAGGGAGAGCTGGGCATGGTGCCACACGCCTGTAGTCCCAGCACTCGGGAGGCTGAGGCAGGAGGATCACTGTAAGTTTTAGGCTAATCTGAACTATATAGACTTGATCTCCACTCACCCCCCAAAAGTTAGATAGAAGGATGGGCTCTTACGGGTCCATTGAGGCATGGCCAGAAAGGAGCAGCCTTGATTCATGCCAGCAGTAGAGGAGGTTTTGTTGATATCCCAAATAAAATTCTCCAGCTGTTACACTGTGACTAGGGCTGGAAACTTGAACTGTTTAGGAGACTCTTTTAAGCAGAATAGGAATATAAAATTAGGCACAGGCCTTGGAAGGGGTCCTGAAGATAAAGTGTCACCAGCCTCACAGCAGATCCCCCTCTGGCTGTGCACGGATGGCTGTCTGAAATGCAGCCCTGCACGTTACAGGCTGGCATGCACTGTGAGCAGCTCCTCCACAGCCCTTTTCCACATCGGAAGTATATTCATCTGGGCCGGAGGCTGCCCTTGCAAGCAGCCTGTCCTAGCTGATGTGTTTGTGGCGGTGAGGCTCTGACCTGCAGGCGAGTGCAGGGGCTCCTGGCTCTTGGGGCTCGAGAGGCACATTCTGCCCCCTGCCCGGATGCTAGAAGGCCCGGCTATGGTTGGTTGCTGGCCTGCTGTGATAGACTCGCACTTTCTGGAGTCCGAGCTGTCCCACCAGGCCCAACACTGGTAGCAAGCCTCACTGCACCTTTCCTGGTGCCGTTTGGGTTTGGAATTTTGTCATCTTGAGCTGAGACCAAATTCTTGGCGTACAGCATGAGCATAAAACTTGACATTATTTAACAAAGTACTGCCATGGAGCATGACCCCCCCATGTGGAAATCTGATGTACCCCTCATTTCTCATTTGCCGGCCTTACTTGGGACATCATAGAGGATCGAGTTGGCATTTACTACCGTGTCTTCCTTGAACCGCACTGGTGTGGGATAGAACCACCATATAATTTATTGTCCAAACTGGGTCTTGTGAGAAAAAGGGGATGCTGTTAATAATCATGCCAGGCCAACAGCATAAACTGGAACCACCCCAGACAAACCAGAATGTGTGGTCTCGCTTGTTAACGGAGGATCCAAGTCGATGGTTTGTGGTTGTGCAGACTGACTGCATTTATGTTTCTCTGTGTGTGTGTGTGTGTGGGGGTTCCTGGTCAGTGGGGCTCCCCTTACTGGGCACGAGGCTGAGGGAGCGTGCCTTGCTATCTGTTATGTTAACATGCTTTTCTAAAACTGCTTCACTTGTTAATTCATTTACTCCATTCATTGACTGTTTTTGTTTGTCTCCATTCACTTTGTACTCCTTTTTTTTCCCCATTAAATTTTGCATTTATTTTGAGTTTTTACGGAGTCTTTTTTGGGCATTTCTTTTGATTTAACAAATTTCTCAAGCCTATTAATATGCTATAGCTGTGGTGAGATAGTTTGCCTTTTCTGTGAACTTGATGGAGGCTAATCTGTTGTGGGAATTACATTTTCATAGTGAATCCTGCTATAGGCATCTGTATTCACTCTTGGGAAGGAGTAGGATGGAGGAAAGAGTCAGTTAGAAAGAGAGGGCCGGGGATGTAGCTCAGTGGCACTGCGCCTGCCTTGCAAGCTCAAGGTCCTGAGTTCAATACCCGGTATACTCCCCCCCAAAAAAAAGAAAAGAAAAGAGAAAATGCAGTCTGTGGCCCAATAATCTTTACAGGGTAACTGGGCTATGGAGGTGAGAGAAGGCACACCTGACTCAAAAGAATGCCAACTTTTATCAGAGAAGGTGGACATAGGAAACTAACATTTGTGTGCATTCAACTGCATTACATGTATTAACACCTCTCACCATCATAATCCTATGATCAGATATCGTTAATCTCCCTAGTTTGTAGGGAAGGCAGAGGTTAGTTACCCAAGGTCACTTGTCAAGTGACTGAATGTTGCTTGTCTGTATCCTTCATTCCTGGTTTAGCTGCTCCTTGGCATCCAAGAAGGACCACAGAAGAAGAGGGGAAATGTGGTCATTGCTAAAGTATATGGTTTGACAGTGTGGGCTGTGGAAATTTTGTAGAGGCGGAAAGTCCAAGGAGACAGGAAATGTTTGGCTGAGGAAGGGCAGAGCTCAATAACACACCTGAGTCCATTTCTTGCTGTGTTTTTTTTAAGCTGGGCACTAGGCAGATCCTAGGAAGAGCAAAAAATGAGAAAACAGATGGGGGTTGGCCGGGTGTGGTGGCGCACGCCTGTAATCCCAGTACTTGGGAGGCTGAGGCAGGAGGATCACTGAGTTCGAGACCAGCCTGGGCTACATAGTGAGTTCCAGGTCAGTCTCAACTACATGGTGAGACCCTGTCTCAAA